ACACCAACATCCCCTTGGCACCCAGCGAGCACCTCGGGGCACCCCACAGGTCCTGGCCACAGGTAAGGGACTCTTCCTCCCCGGGAAAATTGGGACATGGGCAGGGTGGGCAGGCTGGAAGTTTGCTTGTCCAAAGCCACCCAAGGGCACTGGGATGGGAACCCAGGCAACTGGAATCTCCTGCTCTGCCATGGCAGGGGACAAAGGGCACTCACACCCACTTGAGCGTGCTTGGGCACACTTGTGCACACACACTGCCATGAGTGCACACACACTGATATGAGTGCACGCACACTGATATGAGTGCACACACACCCTGCAGCGCACACCCCCATGGACACAAATGTGCTCCCCCAGTCCTGTGCCTAACCACCACCTGCAGTGACAAGCCCCAGACCTGCCACCTCCACGGTCACTGTCTCTCACTCTGTCTCCAGGGTGCCACCCGCCACCCCTCAAATCCACCCCACTGCACTGTGCCCCCCACAACACCCCAAACCCCATGCTAACCATGCAGGCAGCATGCTGCGCCAAGGGGCTCTGCCTGGGGGAGGGAGCTCAGACTGGGAGGCTGCATGACAGGAGCTGTGTCCCCCCCTTCCCAACACCCCTGGGAGCTCCCATCGTTGGTCATGGTGTGAGGGAATCGAGAGCAGAAACAAAGGCAGTGCTTCCCCTGCGCCAACCCACATCCTGAGTCCTGGGGGACAGGGACTCACTGGGAGCCTCCAAAGAAATGGAGGCAGAGGCTGGACACAGCATGGAGAGCAGAGCCTGAGGGCATTTTGGGACAGGACACATGGACAACTAAGAGGGTACAGGATAGCGCACTTTTGCACACCCCGTACCTCCTACCCTATGTAGATGGGGGACATGGGCAGGGAAAGGGGGTGCCTGAGCCCACCCCTTTTACCTTAACAGCAGGCAGCTCTGGGGTGGAGCTGGGGGGACAGATCATCTCCTTGGGGCAGAGTTTGGGGTGCCAGGTGACTGTCAGCCTGGTGTTTCCTGCCCCTACCTTTGCAGCCCCCCAGGGACAGCCATGGCAGGGGATGGCGAAATCAACCGCATCATCAAGGACCTGCAGAGTAAGTGTGCCAGCCTGTCCCCTGCATGGCACATCTCACACTGGACATGCCGGACCCTTCCTTGCACCCAGATCATGGGCAGCGCACTGCTGTCTGCTCCCATCCTTGCTGCCAACCCTGGTTGGGAGCCATTCACTCCCCTGCTTCCCTGTTTCATCCCAGGGCAGGTTCCTCTTTCACCCACCAGTAGAAATCCCCAGGCTGGGAGCTGGGAGGAGGTGGGAGAGTGTGGGAAGGAGCAGGGTACCCGCTGCCTGGGCAGGGCCCTGCCAGCTCAGCCCTGCCATCCCTCAGAGACTGTGATTGAGCTACGCTGCTACCAGGAGCAGAACCTGCCAGTGACAGACGGAAGCCAGGAGCTGCACAGCCTCTGTGCCCAGCTGGAGTTCCTCCTCCAGGTACCTTCAGTCCTCTGTACCCGCTGCTCCTGCCTCTGTTTTCCCTGCAGCAGAGCTGGGAGCAGAGGGGACCCTATGCCGGCTGTTTCATGCATTGGGATGATCCCAGCTGGCCTTATCCAGCCCTGGGCATTCCCATCCAGACGAGCAATCGCCAGGAGCTGCACAGCCTCTGTGCCCAGCTGGAGTTCCTCCTCCAGGTACCTTCAGTCCTCTGTACCCGCTGCTCCTGCCTCTGTTTTCCCTGCAGCAGAGCTGGGAGCAGAGGGGACCCTATGCCGGCTGTTTCATGCATTGGGATGATCCCAGCTGGCCTTATCCAGCCCTGGGCATTCCCATCCAGACGAGCAATCAGACCAGGCTCACCCATGTCCACATGTGTAATTGCACGTGCTGCAAAAGGGAAACTGAGGCACATTGCCAAGAGGGGACAGCCAAGAGGGGACAGCCAGGGGACACTGGGACCCACCCTGTTGGGGTAGCTGAGTGGATCCCAGCCCCACAGGGGCAGACTCAGGGAACAGGGAACACCCCGAGACAAGCAAGCCCAAGCTTGTGTCTCTGCCAGTTTGACCTCAAGGAGAAGAAGAGTTTCTTTGGGCAACGCAAGGACTATTGGGACTTCTTGTGCCAGGGCCTGGCACGGCGCCGGCAGGAGCACGAGGGCATTCGCTTCGTCACCTCCCTGAACAAGGTGGGCACACACAAATGCACCCGCCTCTGCTTGTTTGTAGGTGCACACACACTTGGGCACTGATGATACAAGGAAGTAATTCTTTGCTGTGAGGGTGGTGAGGCTCTGGAACAGGCTGCCCAAGGAACTTGTGGCTGCCCCATCCCTGGCAATGTTCAAGGCCAGGTTGGATGGAGCTTGGAGCAACCTGGTCTAGTGGAAGGTGTCACTACCTGTGGCAGGGGTGTTGGAACTAGATGATCTTAAGGTCCTTTCCAACCCAAATTGTTCTGTGATTCTATGATTCATCCACCAGTGCTATAAAGGGTTATCTCCCCTCTGGGATTCCCACTGTCCCCAGTGGTTGTCCTCGCCCTGGAGATCCTCTTCCCCCGCTTCGTGGGCTGGGAGAGAGGCATGTGGGGAGCAGACTGGTGTGGCAGGGCTGAATAACCCCCTCCCCCCCCAGCTGAAGATAGGTAGGGGCCGAGCCTTCCTGCGGTACTGCCTGGTGCACCGGCAGCTGGCAGAGTCCCTGCAGCTCTGCCTCCTCGATCCTGAGAGCCTTAGGTGAGAGCAGGGGCATGGGGATGGGATGCTCGCCATGGCAGGGGGCATAGTCAGCAGCACAGTTAGCAGCACCCAGTTGTCAAGGGTGCTGCAGTCGTGTGTGCCCCCTCAGGGCACAGAGGGCTGCATGAGCCTGTTTGCGGTTGCAGCAAGTGGTACTACGCCCGCAGCCCCTTCCTGAGCCCCCAGCGCCAGGCGGAGATCCTGGGCAGCCTGTATGAGCTGGACCGTGTCACCTTCCACCTGGCCCTGTGCAGAGATGACCTGGACACTGCCTGGCCCATGTTCTCTGAGTGAGCCTGGGGATGTGTGGGGGCACCAGGGGCACTGGGGGTGCCAGGAACATCAGGGGTACCTGGAACTTAGCATGGCAGAGCAGCACACAGACCCACGTGACACTCCAGGTGTGCCAGCCCTCCATGTGTGGCTCCAGGCAGGCACAGACACCCATGCCAGCATGCACCTGCCATGCCTATGCCTGCAAACATGCCACTTGTGCATGCACACATACACACCACCATCCTCTGCCAAGTACATGCCATGGGACAGGTCTGCTGTGACATGGTTGACACTGTGACATTTGTGTGTGCACATCCTTGCCCTGGGCACACTTGCAGGAGGGGAATTCCTGATGCAGCTGCTTCAACACACACCCATTCTGCTGCTAGCGTGCTTGTGTGCATGCCCTGCCACAAGTACACAGACAGCCCCCAATTCTTCCCTGCAACCACCACAGGGGTCTCTGGGTGCCACCTGCTCTGTGGGTGCCCAGGCTGTTGGCACCACCAATCCTGGTTCCCTGCCACCAGGTACCAGCCACTGTAAACACACCCGCTGCCCTCTCCATCCCTAAAGGCTGGCTGTGCCCAGGGAGCCCTGAGGGAGGGTGGCAGTGCCCTACTCACCCTGGGGGTGACCTGGTGGACCTGAGCCTTGTGTCCCCTCTAGGACACTGGTACGACCCAGCTGGGTGGCTGGAATCAGCCTGGCAAAGGCAGCCCCACAGACAGACAACAATGGCACCAGGATGCATGGACGGCCTGATGGCATCGCCCATTCTACCATGGCACACTGTGGGGTGCCAGCCCACCCATGCCCACCAGCCTTGGCTGGCCTGTGGGCAGGGGATGTAGAGGTGGAGGATGTGGAAAGGAATGTGGAGGACGTGGAAGTGAAGAAGGATGTGGAAGAGGAAGATGAGGTGGAGAAGGATGAGGATGAGGAGGTGGATTGGGATGTGGATGTGAAGGTGGAGGAGGATGTGGAAGAGGAGGATGAAGAGGAGTTGGAGGATGGGAAGGAGGACATGGAGGTAACTGCAAAGAAGGATGTGGAAGTAGAGGAGGATGTGGAAGAGGATGATGAAGAGGAGCTGGACAAGGATGAGAAGGAGATGGAAGATGAGGAGGAGTTGGAGGGTGTGGATGCAGAGGAGCTGGAGGATGCACACAGAGCTGGCAAAGCACCCCAGCCCGATGGTGGCAGGGAGCCTGGCACATCACCACCACCCAGCACAGGGTGCATGCCGAACTCCCCGCCACCAGAGCATGGGCAGCCAGGTGGGATGGAGGTGTCCCTGCGGGCACTGGTCTCCCAGCTGCAGACTGAGCTGGGGCAGTGGAAGGCATCATCCCAGGTGCTGGCAGCCCGGCTGGCGCGGGAGGAGCGGCGGCACAGGCAGCAGGAGGAGGGCAGCATGCGGCAGGCCCGGCTGCAGGCACATGAGGCCGAGGCGCTGCGGGACACCAACACCTTCCTGGGGCAGGCACTGGCAGTGGCGG